CCGATGAAGCAGGGTGTGCTCCTACCCTACCGTGTGCGCCTCCTGCTCGGTGACGGCCACTCGTGCTACCGCCCGCGCCGCACGGGTGAGCGCAAGCGCAAATCCGTGCGTGGGTGCATTGTTGGGCCCGACATCGCCGTGCTGTCGCTCGTGCTCGTGAAGCAGGGCGAGTCCGAGATCGCGGGGCTGACGGACAATGTGCTGCCCAAGCGCCTCGGGCCGAAGCGTGCGACTAAGATCAAGCGCTTCTTCAACCTCGGCAAGGAGGACGACGTCAGGAAGTACGTCGTCAGGAGGGAGGTCAAGTCGAAGAAGGAGGGCGCCAAGCCGTACACCAAGGCGTGCGTCGTTTCGCTCATCTGGCGATCTGGATCGATGGGCTGACACCACACGATTCTATGCAGGCCCAAGATCCAGCGTCTCGTCACACCGGAGCGCCTGCAGCGCCGCCGCCACCTCTCCTCGCTCGTTCGCCGCAAACGGGTCGTCCAGAAGGAGCAAAAGACGGAGTACGACGCCCTCCTCGCCAAGCGTGTCGCGGAGAAGAAGGCCAAGGTCGCCGCTATCAAAGCCGCTCACCACAAGTACGTGTGAGCTCGTCCTATTTTAGGATTCGACTCTGATCGTATTCGCAGGACCGCATAACCAGTGTGCTGCGTTGGTTTGGTATCGGACATCCCCGCGGATGCAGCAGACAGGCGCTGGGTAGCTACGCGTGTATTACTGTTGACGCGGTCAGGTTATGCTATGTTGTGTCCTAGGCCCTATTATGATGCATGCTCTCTTTCTTTCTTTCTGTCTTCCGGGTGTCTGAACGTCGTTACACGGATCCATCTGCTCGGTAGACCGGCTTTGCTCGGAATCGGACCATCATTTGATTACTGGAATCTACTCTGGTAATACCAGTGATGGGAACGCGTGCTTTGGCCGGGACATCCAGAACAATCCAGGTTTTGGTTGAGATCCAAGCACATGAGCAGTCGACAACTGTCGCTTTGTCACTACGTCCGAATAAGGAACAGGTGGCAGCGGGGTTATGATTAAAAGCTCCGGACACAGCAAGTAATTACGAGGTTGCTACGATACACGGATTAAAGCAGAGCAAGTCGTATGTAGTGGAGTAAGTGGGCGCTGAAAGCAGAAGAGCAAGAAAGCATTAGAAGCAGGGTTGCGTAGATTAGTGATCTGTCGTCGTCATCAAGAGTCTTCTTCGGATCGCGCGTCGTGGTATCGTTTTTTCATTGATCGCGTCGTATGAGGGATGGGTGAATGTGCGTGTGCGTGCGTACATTATCGTCTCAAGCGCCTGGCGTCGGCCACGACCTTGTACACCAGCTGCACGAAATCGACGAGCTTGGCGTCGCGTGGGGCGAACGCCAGCACGTTCTTCCACAAGCCGCGCACGTAGTCGAGGTACCAGTCGAACTGAGCCTCGGGCAGGCGGCTGAGCACGCCCGCCATCGCCGCGGCGTTGGGGAACTCGCCGATGACCTCCGGAGGCAGCACGCGCGCGGCGAGCTGGTTCCGGTCCGTCTCGAGCCCGAGGCCGAAGAGGAAGAGGAGCGGCACGGAGTGGATGTGCGGCGCGTGCACGGACACGACGGGTAGGGTGATGTGCTGCGGCGTGGCGACCGCGGCGAGGCCCGGGTGCGGGACCGCGCCGGCGTTCTCGAACGCGCCGTGGTACATGGACGCGTCGATAGGGACCATGAGCGGCGGGGCGTTGGGGATCGCGCTGTCTTCCGGCGGGAAGATCGCGAGGACGTGGGTTGGCAGCCGGATGGCTGGGGAGATGAGGTGCACAGAGAAGGTGGGCGCCAGGGGCGTGCTCAGCGGGAAAACCGCTTTGGCCAGGGAGAAGTGATGGCACAGCGCGCTGTGTGCGTAGTACATATATAATCAGGCGCAAGATCGCGACGGGCGATTGAGATACGTACTCCAGGGGAGGCTCGTCTTGAAGGAAATGTCTGTTCAGCATTGTGGTCGTTTCGTACGTCGGTCGGTTATTAATGAGTGGTGTGTAAAGAGCGAATAGTCTGTGCACCAGTGTCAGATATGATGAACGAGCGCGGACGACTCCGAACAGCAGCATACTACGGGCGAAAAGGGCTGTCGGAGGTGTTGGCGGCGTCAAGTACAGTGCATGCTTGACCGAGACAAGCCTGGTGGCTCTGGACAAGAGTGACCGTCCAGAAAAATCCGGCCGCCCAAATAGACAGGAGAAATAACCCCATCTGGGTGTGTCATCGGGATCTCGCTCAGTCATTTTCCAATTCGCGCGGTCGAGTCCGTCTCCACGACCTGATCTCTCCCAGGATGGCTTCTGCTCCGGTGGGTACGCCTTACTTGCGGGCCTAAAGCTGCCTAAACGGTCGCAAGCTTATTTTGTTCTGAAGATTGTCATCACCCAAAGCTAGACCTGCTCTTTCTCAACAACGGCAGCAGCTAGGAGCATGAATCTTTGTCGCCTAGTGCAAAGGCCGGAGTTTCTTCAGTACAAAGCGTGTAGGCAAGCCAGCCGCGACGTCGTTGAGCAGAGAATGAGTCACAGCGTCTTATGGCGTCACGTCATCTGTCTTAGACCACCCGGCCGACTGCTTATACTGAGGTGTTGACAAAACCGTTGGAAGATGCTCCAACAACAGAAAATATGGTGTTGGGGAAGAGCCTCGTGCTTCTCGCTACGGCCGTCGTTCACACCAGGCAGGATCATTCAAACAAGCACACAATGTTCCTCCACTTGAAATATATGAATGCGAATGTATGGAATTTCCTCTCTTGAATACGACTGCTCGTCTCTGCTCTTCCGATGTAAATGTCAAATTGCCGATTCTGGACAGCACAACGACTAAATATGCGACTGTCGCATCATATATTCAGAATTTGAACATTTCGACCAAGTTGCGCTTAGACCTGACAGCGCCGAGGAACTTCCTGGCGGTAGCGGCGGAGATTGCCGCGGTTGTTGAGTACACTTCGCATGAGGTTCTACGACTACAGATCGTCATCGCGCCTCGCACTCAGTTAAGATTAGTTTGAGAGTCGTCGTCGTCGGCTCCGAAATGCATTCAAGCAACCGGTGCCGAGCACACCTCCGGTGTGTTACAGCAACGGCTTCCAGTACGCCTGTCATAGGAGCCGGGAAATCCGGAAGATTCGCGTGCTCGGCCGCGGTGGAGTTAGCTGTGGCGACGACACCGCTTCAGATGAAGGACGTCGCGCGATTGTGGAGATGAAGCGAGAGCAAATATGTTACATAGACTCTCCCAGGACAAATTCAGATTCGTACCGACGCTAACTGCGCCGGTAGGGACAGCGCGTGAGATTCGCTGCGGTTACAAGGTGTATAGAAGCCTTACACCAGTTCCTGTAGACCCTGGCCCGTACAGCTTTGGAGTTGGACATCTTGAGATCGAACTCGAATGAATCAAACGCCATACATCGCTTGCGCATTCGCCCTCGCCACCGCCATCACCCGGGTGGCATCCCAGCCTTCGCTTTCTGCCCCGGCTTCTCCTCCCGGTAACAGATCGGCCACGAAACTAGCCGTCCAAGGAACCATCCCAGAGTGACAGAACGGCAGCTTCTTGCCCTTGCCTTCGGCTGTCGCGAATGCCGGTGCGGTGTAGATGGGTGCGGGAACCATGTACGGCGCGTCCGTCTCCAGCAGGATACGTAATCGGGGGGAACCCACACCCTCAAACATGTTGCGGACCGTCGTGGACGTGTCCGCATTCGAGGTATAAGAAATGACACCTTAGCAAAGCTGGATCAGGGAACCGCGCCAGACCTCAGAACCCTTCTTACCCGTGATGCCGACGTAAAGATTCGGGAACCAGTCTAGGAGTCTTTGTGCAAATGCAGGCGAGTCGGTGAAGCAGTGGATGTGAATCTGGAACAATGTGGACCTCACAATCTCGAAGCTACGGGTTCGTCGAAACTGACCTTGTGGTCCTTGGGCACCTCCGCTTTCAGTATTCGTTCTGTATCTTCATCTGCTTCGCGAGTGTGTATCGTTAACGGCTTGTTGAGTTTGACTGCGCGTCTCAGTTGCCGGGTAAACACTTCTTGCTGGACGTCCCGGGGCGAGTTATCATAGTGGTAATCCAATCCCATCTCGCCCCAGCCGACGCAACGCGGGTGCTTCATCGCCTCTAGTCTACGACGGAGTCAGAGGGATTGATGATGCAGCGCAACAAATGGAAGGGAAGGGAAGGACGTACATATCAGCCTCGATCTCATCGTTGTACAGCTTGGCTTCGTGTGGATGCACACCCATGACGAACCAGTAGCCCACCCCACCCCACAGATCGCGCCTCTGCTCCTCAGTAACCGCCGAATCCGCGAACTCCCTCCATGAACGCTGCACCGGGGCCTCGCACCACACGTCCACGATCTGCTGGACGCCTGCAGGCGCATAAAGCCCCCGCACGAACTCGTGCACCGTCGTGAATTCGCCCGCGGGATATTTGTGGCGGTAGACTTCGAAAGTGGAGGCGAGGTGTGTGTGTGTGTCCACGATGGGCGCGCTGTTGGCTTGGGGATGGACGAGCCGGAAGAGCGACTCCGGGATGACTTTGGATTTCTTGCCCATTTTGCGGGTGGACGCGTGGAGTGCTGTGGTGGAGTGGGTAAAGGAGCGGTAGACGGGATGGGGTATTTGATTAAGAACGATATGAACTCTTGGCCTCAGGAGCATGAGTCGCGTCGGACGCGAAAACACAAATTGACTCCGAGAGGACCGAAGTGATGGTAGTGGCACATGATCAGCATCACAGATCAATCGCGCTCACGTGCTTTGAGTATGCTCTACAACCATCCTCCCCCGGCCATAGCAGAGGGATCCGTCCTGCCTTTTTCAAGAATTCCACCTCCCAAGACATTCTGAAGGATCTAGTGCGGCTCGTTCCCCCAAAATATCATTGAGTGTCTTTGTCCTGACCTCAATCCCGGGTGGGTGGCACTGTTCCTCGAAACACGCTGATCTGATGCTCTCGAAGCTTTAAACGGAGGCTTCCCATGAACCTTCAAAGAAATGGAAAGGGGGGCCTAATACTTCCGACATAGAAGTCTTGTTCCTGCTTTCTTCTTACTGGATCTACGCCGGACCCTTGGGATTCAGCTACTCTGTTGATAGAGAAGGAGCTGGCCGCCGGCAGTCCCGGATTGAGACCAGTGACTCCTTTGTATAAACTCAGGATGCGAGGCTCACCAGTCTATTGGGTGTATGAGAGATGCTCAACCGCTTCGGGTGTCTTTGTCCTTTGTTCTCGCAGCGGTGATGACCTAACCGTTTCTGATGCGGGTAAGTGTCAGTGAAAATATACTCTCAAACTCTTCCTCTTCTATGCTCGCTATTGGGCTTCTGTAGCATGTCCGAGCCTTGTTGGGACATCTGGATGTGTTGCTTCCGCCCTCGGCTGACAGCAGCTACCATATCAAGCAAGTCCGAAGCGAGACAGAATTGCCTCTTTGGGTCATACACTTTGGTAAAATAAATGTCTTATATGGCAACTTTACGACAATGCGGATTGGTGATTGTACTGAAGGCGGATTGCTCGCTTTCGCTGCCTCCAAACGCTTCCTTATAAAGACTTGACTGACGAAAAGACATGTCCACCCAAGTCCGCCGCCCGCCTTAGCATTCCGCGCCTCGACTTTCGCAACTCCTAAAATTGCTCCAATGCCTGCATCCACTTCTCTTTTCTCCGCCACTACCGGCTCAAAGAAGACCTCGTCCTCCCGCTCGCACACGACCAAAGAGCAACGTGCCACATACGCTCTGCGCGTCATCCAAAAACGCAGCTCCGACGCCGCCCCACGCACACCCCTTGCCGTCACATACGACGCTTCGGTCAACATTGATCCCAAAGTCGCCAGCACTTCGAAGCTTATGCTGCCGGCCAAGTTGATGCGCCCCACTACCGGGCACTGCGATATTGAGGAGAATCTGGCCATACACTACCCTGAGCTCAGTGGTGTCCCTCTCGAATACATCCAGGACAGCATTTCCCGCTCTGCGTACGTTTTTCCCCTTAGAAATGATCTCCCCTCCGAGTCTCATCTCCATCTGCAGTTGCTGTGAAGCTATCAAAGCAGCTAAAGTGGCCCCCTTCAACTCCAAGGCCCTGCCAAAAGCGCTCACCATCTCTGTGAATGACGAAGTCGCCGCCGCCTGCCCAACACACATGCTGGCCGTCCACGGCGGCATCCCATCGTCCCACCGCGCCTCGGCGTTGTCCTCAAAGAAGCTTGCAGAGAAAGCGCCATCCTGCGCCGTGGGCATTTACCCCATCCACCACCTCCTCTTCGCCTCCCACTGCGCGCGCTTCCCGACCGCGATCCCGCTCTCGCAGCCGCTCGACTCCGTCGACGACCAGGGCGACACGTCCGTCCCAGTGGCCGCCCTGCGCGTGCCCTCGCCGGAGACCTTCAGCCTGCTGCACGGGTACCTCTACACCCGCAGCGCCGCGCGCATCGCGGTGCTGCTGTCCCCGCCGTGCGGCGCAGACTGGCTGCAGCTTGCACAGCACGCGAAGCAGGTGCACGGGCTGTGGGCCAATGCGTACTCGCTCGGCGTCGTTGACGAGCAGCTTTACAACGCGCTAGATCTGGCATGGGCTCGCACGCTGGGTGCGATGCGGGCGTGCCAGTAGACCGGTTCCTTTTTGCTCCCGTTGGGCATCCCTTATCATTATTTCTATTCTTGCATTGCATCGCATGGTCTCTGAACACCACCAATACATTACAATACATATGTGTATGATTATGTACCAAACTTGTAGTCTTTCTGCACATGAAGTGTTTTGTCTCAACCGGCTCGAACGGAGATAGTTTCTAAATCAGAATCTTCCGACCAGTCCGCGGTTCTCATCGAGGCATATTCTCCGTAAGTAGCAACTATGATACACTTGGGAATCTTTACACTGCGTGGCATGTAGAGTAGGATAGGTAGGTGAGGAGGTTAGTAGCGGGTATACAGTAAGTACATCGGCCAACACGAAGGGTCCTGGGAAGATGCGAACGAACGAGCGGCCCGCCATCAGTAAGCAATGAAGTGATACATTCGTTGACTGATCACTCGCAGCGTACACATCAAGTCGGTGGCGTCAATATCTTCCGCAGATCCATTTCGATATCGTCCTCCTCCAGCCCGATGCGCGTGCCCTCAACTGAGGTTCGCTGGCTCTCAGCTCCTTCGGTCGACGCTGGCACGAGCACGACCTTGGAGTACCCCCCGTTCAGCAGAGCCGGCGGCGCACTCTGCGAAGCTGCTGGGAACCCCGGGGTCGTTGCGGAGTCCGGGATCCCCCCCTCGGCATAGGGGGCCGACGATGCGTGTCGGCCTGACGGCCTGTCGGAGTCCAGAGCCTGATACGTCCGTACGTTGGGCCGCGGAGGTGCGTGGTCCTCGTCGTCCCCAGTTTCCATGAAACTCAGCTCAACGCGGCCCACGGTGGTCGGATGGTCGAGCGCCGAAGACGGGAGCGAGCGGATGTTGATCATCATGCGAGACACGGCGATGCACGAGATGGCAGATGTGGGCCTAGACTCGGCGGTCAGCGAGTGGCACGGAGAAATGGGGCAGATTTGTACGTACCCGAGTAGCACAGCGCGAAAGTACGCAGAGAAGTCGAACTCGTAGATGATGACGTTCGTGAGCGAAAAGGCTGCAGACAGACATGGATAGATTAGTACACTGTTTGTTCCTGGGTGTTGGCAGCAACTGACTGAATATGAAGAGGAAGTAGACAAGCGAGTCGCGCGCGAGCACATCTAGCCTGGACGCCTGTCAGTCTCCGCACAGCACCAGAAGGTCAGCAGGCCATACGTGTCGTTGCCACCAGTTCCGAAGCTCCCGAGTATTCCCCACTGTCCGGCTTTCCTTCCGCCTAATTTCCACCGAGGCACCACCTTCGCCAGAGTGATCAATAGCATGATGACTGGATGCAAAAGTCAATTAGAGAGCAGACTGGCAGTGCCGACACGCACACTCAAAGCAGACAGGGGCGATCCAGGTCCCACTTGCATACATCTTCAATAAATAGCCCGACCGCGAGTGGAGACCACAACTGAGCGGTGCAGGCTGAGCAATGCCCTGAGTATCTGCTGTTGCCACAATTATACAAGCTGCCATGACGAGACATTCCACTGAAGAGCGTCAAAACGCGAACGATATGGGGAGATAGTTCGACGTACGGGTATAGAGAATAGTCAGAATCCACCACATAAACCGAGAATTATTATCTGCGTCAGTGAGCTATAGGAAAATCTTGTTGACGAAAACGATGGCACGCACAAATAGCCCAGACGCGAATGACCACCAGCCCCTGCGCCGCGATGATGGCCAGCCTGAGAGGAATCATCTGCCAGTACGAGTAGATGCGACAGAACTCGGGGCTGGTGCCGGGGAAGTCCGCGAGGATCCACAGCGCGATGAGGATCCCGCGGATAAAGTAGCGGTTGAGCATGAAGAGAATTTTGGGGAGCCGCCACTTGAGGGACCACACGCGCGCGATCTCATCGTCGAGCGTCGTCAGCAGCTCGTAGACCAGCAGCGTCGCGACAGCATCTGCGTGCGCCCGCGTGAGCAGCGCCCAGGCGTGATCTCGGGTCCACTCACAATTGATGTAGTTCTGGATGAGGGTGTTGCTGACATAGGCGCGCGCGACTTCGGGGGTGTAGTAGCTGGGTGGGTACGAGGCGGCGGGGCCGGGCATCCGATGTGGTCCGCGTAGGCCTCGTATTCGTTGTCGTCGGCGTCTTCGTCTTCGTCTTCGTCTTCGTCTTCCGTCTTCGTCCCCTTATCCAAGATCCGTGTGTCCAGTGGCGTGCGCGTCGTCAGGCTCCGAAGCGGAGCATCAGCCACAGCGGGCAGGCAGACGAAGTGGGGGGTAGAAGAAGTAAGGAAGAAGGCAGGAAAGATAAGGCTTTGGCGTTGACAGTAGTGTATACATGGCGCATGCTGCACTGGACCGGCCGTCCACATTGCGCAAGCGGTGCCTGCCCAAATGGTGCATCAACTCTCACGTTGATTCACACGTCAATCACGGAACTTTTCACCGGAGATTGCCGCTCGGTGTTTGTCCATTCATGATTTCAGGGCCAGGCACAAGTCGCGTGAGCCTCTGTTGGGTTCTTTTTTTTCTACATGCACCAGTTATTCATGAATGGATAATCCACAGAGACGCACTCCACTTCTGTAACTAATCGCTGATGAAGAAAGATGGGATCCCCACCTGATGCTAATGATAGTACAACTGTAACGTTGCGGCTTGATAGATGGATAGATCTCGCTAGCTTTTGATGAGATTTGCTACACCCAGTTCATGCCATGCTAGGCCTATTGAGTCCATGTCTTCTGAGAATCTCCGGAACCTGCCTGGGAGAACGATATTTCGGACACTCTAATTGCGTCCATGAGTTACCAGCTATGTGCTTCGCCCTAATTCGGTTTAGTAGTTCACGGCGATCACAGTCTCGGAAGCCAGTGGGGCATCCAACGACCCCGCCGGACCTGGATCACTGCGAGAACCACTGAGATCGACGGGCTGGATCCGGGGCTCGTATCGATTAGTTGCCAGTGCAGACTCGGATGAACTGGGAGACCCAGGCATGAAACTGCCGTCTCAGCTAGCAGTGTGCGTTTCTTCACTCCCGGTTTGCCCGAACAACTTCCAGTACACTGCCGACGCTCCGGACGCAGTGAGGGGCTCAACCAAACTTCCAGTGGCTCTTCCATTGACCCCGACCGATTTCATTACCGCACTTATCTTACTGGACTGGTCGCGAAAGCTCGAATGGTAGCAAACTGTATTAGCTCGCGAAATTACGTCCAGGCTGAAAAATTTCGTCGAGTCAGTCTAAGTTTTTCAGGCATATACACATTCTATTTGGCTTGCCTGTGCGCCAAAGCGCCCTTCCATTCGAGTCAACTGGACGTTCAATACCGAACATTGAGGAAAGTGGCGTGGATCTTATCTAATCGCACTATCTCGTCCGAGTCCCCCCTTTTTGTATCCCTGGTAGTCTGCCCCGATCTGGTTGCCTGTGGTTACTCTGGCAATATATTTTTAGGGTGATAACATGGCAAACGCGCCACCAACTATTACCGTAGATGACTGTCTCTTAGTGCACACCGGGGAGCTACCGGGGGCGCACGATGATCTTACGACATTTTCATGATGATATTACGTGGTGTGTCGGGGCTTCGGAACTAAGAAATTGACCCGGAGACTACGGTATACATTCCTCGACTTTTATTATCTGATAACGCACACATTAGGCGCATTGGTTCTGCGTCCGGGTTCGACAGCCACAGGGGACGCAGATATTCAAAGTACGATCGTAGTACTAGTGTCCTGACTCCTGACAATATGCGCTTTCCAAGAAAACTCGTAGGAAGAAAATACACAAGCCAAGCGGGCCAAGCGTTTTGTTCGTAGCTGTGCCATCTCAATGAGCATTATGTAACCGGCAACCAATATTTGACTGCGGCCGCAGAATGCGTTGTCTACGATCGTATACATCGTATTGAAGATCTGACTTGGTTACTGGCATACCTCACACAGGGCTACACGGCGTCAAGTCTGCTCGAACAAAGAAGCAACCTATAGTAGACAATGACCTTCAACGACCCCTGCCTAGAAGTCGCAGGGCCATTTCTTCGTCATCTTCCAAAGTATGTGATGTCTTGCTGCGTTTTACCGGAGGCTGCGGGATCTCATCGACATCCTCCGACTCGGATGGCAGATCAAAGTCGGGTGAGACGTAGCCATCATCCTCGTCGCCGAGCGGCGCTAACACGGCATGACCACCACCGGACTCTTCCGCCTGCATCTCCGCCTCCCGTTCCTTGCGTTTCCGCTTCTTCTCGCGCTTCTTCTCCCGGGCCTCCTCCTTGTCCACAACATTTGTCGTCTGCATCTTGCTCCGCTCTCCTTCGGCAAACTGGCGCCCGGCCTCGACGACACCGTCCAAGCCACCCTTACCTTTCATCCAGCGCGTGGCCTCCTCCATCTCGTACAGCTCATGCGGATTGCCTTCGTCGTCGAAGATCAGCTTTTGCGGCAGGCCACCCTCCAGGATGGTCCGCTTTGCCTTGCCCATCTTTTGCCTGCGCTTTGACAATTCGGGTGTTTCCTCGTTCATCTCGGGGATATCGTGGTTAGCGCGCTTGAGCGTTATGAAATCGTCTCCGTCATCGTCACCGTCTCCGTCCAGCAGCTTCGAGTAGTGCTCGGACAGGACATTCTGGTTCTTGCGCTCAAACATGCGGTCGTACTTCGTGCGCACCACAGGCTGTAAATGTTTTGAGCTACTTGCCAAAGGATACTGATGGCACCGTCTGACCTTGACTGTCGCTTCTTCCTCGCTCGAGTCGTCCGAATCGAAGCCCACCGCCTGCTCATCGCGCGACTGATTCTTCTTCTGTTTGGCCACCTCTTTGCTTAAAAACTTGATCTTCGGAGCACCCGGTAAGCCCAACGATTCGGCGAATCTCTCCGCAGGCAGTTCAGTCAACTTGAAGATCGATTTGTCCTTGTGAAGATGGACCGAGCGCAGATACGAGACGAACGCCTATGTGCGACTGTGGTCAGACTCGGGGTGAGAAGCAGTGGCTCGATAGACATACCCTCTGCCCCAGATACTTGATCTCCGGATCCTGGAAGGCAAGGTTCTGGAGTTGATTCTCGATGCTCTGGACCTTGCTCATTTTGGCCTTGATTCGCTCCACCTCGATGCCTCTTTTGTTTAGAGCAGCCTTCATACCTTCCTCCTCGCTCGGCATCAGGAAGAGCAGAGCCTTTCCCTTGCTCTGATACCGCGCGGTACGCCCAACCCGGTGAATGTACGTCTCGGCGTCTTCAGGCGCATCGACCTGCACCACCCAGTCGACCGCAGGGAAGTCCAATCCGCGCGCTGCGATGTCCGTCGCGAAGAGCACCGCATGCTTGGCCGTCGTGAATTTAGTGTACATCTCCAGCCGGGCGGTCTGCTTCATCTTTCCGTGAATGTTCAGCAGCGAGAGACCGGGGTGCATCTTGCAGAACGTCTCGAAGACAAATCTGACTTGCTTGCAGCTTGAGAGAAAGACAAGCGTTTTGGATTGGAGATGGGTTTTGATGAAGCCCCACAAGACCGAGAGCTTCTGATCGAGGGGGCAAAGTAGGTAGTGCTGCTCGAGTCCAGCTGGGATAGCCGAAGCGTCGTCGTCGTCCCCTTCAGCTTCAAATGACTTGATGCCAATCTGGACGGGAGATTTCAAGCTGAGCCGGGCCAGGTCGCTGACCGAATCGGTTTGCGTCGCAGAGAAAAGAAGAGTCTGCCGCGTTTTGGGGAGGTGACCGAGAAGCGCAGATAGCGTGCGCGCGAAGCCCATGTCGAGTATCCGATCGGCCTCGTCGAGGACTAGTATATATAATATCAGAGAGCGACGAAATGGAACATATAGAAGGCGCTACGCACCGAGAACCTGGAGGTTGTCCGCCTCGAACCCGACCGTCTGATCCATGTGCTGGAGCAGTCGTCCTGGGGTGGCGACCAGAAT